GAAATCGCCTGGGAGACAAATGAATAGAAAAAGGGCGGGCGCCAGCAGCGCAGGCACCGAACCTGGGAGACAAAAGTAAAGAAATCACTTAGGGATACAAAATGAATAGAAATGCTGCATGGCCAGTGGAAAAGGGCGGACGCCAGCAGTGCAGGCACCGAACCTGGGAGACAAGCGTAAAGAAACTACACCACCGTAGACCCCAAACAGTTTGCGTTTTTCAATATCGAAACTAGAGCTTGCGACGTCAGAGCTGGGAGACAAAGGATTGCAAGGGAGAGGCGGCCACAGCAGCCCAGAGCTGGCAGACAAATGTAAAGGATTGCAAGGCAGAGACGGACACAGCAGTACAGAGCGGGCGGGCACATCTTAAGAAAGAATTGAGAAGCCCTAACATTAAAGCTTGTGGGGAATCATTCTTCAAGCGCGAACATGATGCTGGTCATGCTGCTCAATCAGCGGGGAGCTGACCACGTGAGGAGAAGAAATAAAAGCGTGAGGAGCGAAGGATGTGACATGAAATTGATTTTTGGTGCCTGACGTATGCCCTCCGTCCCAACTGAACAGAGAGATCGCTGCCGCGCCAGCGAAATCCAATCCGGTCATTCATCCAACGCTTGCCCGAAAAGGAAAACAAAGCTGAGAGAGTTACACAGTGTGGCAGGAATGCAATCCCGGAGACAGTCGCGCACCCCTTTCCTTTCACAGGTGAACCTGTTCCAGTGGACAGGGCAGAAAACAGCAGCGCAGGCACCAAAACTGAAAGACAACTAGACGACGAGTGGCCCGAAAGCATTTTTCATCACGCAGGAAGTCAGAGTGCGAGTTATCCGGTAAGTGTGCAGTGAGAAGTGTGAAGTCGAGTGAGTTGAGGTAGTGTGTGGGTTTCTGTGCGTGTGTCTATGTCCGTGTGGAAATGAGTCTGCGTATGTGTGTGTTCGTGTAAGTTGAGGGAGTGTGTGGGTGTCTGTGTGTGATGCGGCCTCCCAAACCCCCCACCGGCGGCCAAGCGGTGACAGCCCAGCTCATCGTCGTGAGCATTTGGGCTGCTGGTAAGGGGAGAAGCAGCGTGCACGGCGCCAGGAAAAGCTCACGGAAAAAAACGAACCGGAATGAAGACACAAAAGTGCCGAGGCAGGCGCGCCAGAAGTGTCTCGAAGCAGTGACCTGTCAGAGGAGATGAACGAA